GCAGCCTCCCCCCGGAGGAGTCCTGGCCCCACATGCTGCCAGCAACCCGCTTCCGGTGCCCTCCTAGCTTTTTACACCACGCTTTTAGCCAGGCGTGACTCAGAATGTTGACTGTGATTAAGCAAGCTGTCTATCTAGAGATAGAGATATGTGGCAGCGTAATTGGCGGCATGATTGACATTACAAAGTTCTCTTCGGTCCACAATGACCAATAAATCCTCCTGCAGCTTTTGCCATTTAATGAATTGCTATTTTGGTAGAGGAAAATATGCCAGACCCCCATTCCTATGTTCTCTTCTTCCCCCTCACCCTGTCCTGGGATTAGGGCAAGGAAAGAAGGGGAGCCATTCATTATGCTCTTTCTGTGTTCTGTAATTACTGGAACTCAGGCTTAAGGTGAATTTCAGCTCAGATCATGAACCATTTCACGTTCAGATGCAAGCTTGCAATACTTTCCTAGTGGCAATTAGGAGCCTATTACAAGCCATTAGATTGATCAATGTACCTTAAACAATGTGAATGATTTATATGGCAAAGAAAAAAACCTTCTTACATCCATTGTACTGTTCCAGCGACCAACCTGGCCCTCTGTCTCCATTCATCACAGCTTTAAACAACAAAAGCAATTTATTTAGTTAAACTTAAATGCAAAGAAACAGGCTCAGTTCTTCGTCATGTAGGGCATCTGAGCTTTATCCCTTTATTGTCAAGAGATGTAGGCTGCAAGAATTTGAGTTTGTGGGGGGGGAAAGGGAGGGGTAGATTTGCTGGTTTCCAAATGGATTAATTCACCTTGTACCTGAAAGAAGGAAACAAAGAGATCCCTGACTGCTTCCTAAAGAGGACACTAATCTGCTGTGCAGATGCAACACAAGGAGGAAAGCAGGGGCTTACACAAGTGTTCAGCGAAGTGTTTGGTTAGATGATTGTAGCCTTTTAATGACAGTCTGGATGCAGAACCACGATCCCTGGAAGCTCCAAGACAGCTAAGGAGTGGAAAGCAGGCTGGGATGTGCCAGCTGATGGAGGGACAAGGGTAGGGGCAGCCTTCACCACCATGCGTGGTTATTCTAACTATTCTACAACTAAAAAACTACAAAATATCAGTTACTATGAAAGCCAGAGCTGCTACCCTGTAGGACTTGGGTCTGTCTTTATTTGCCTCCTTTCGCAAGGCCCACGGAACCTCTCACACCTGGAAAATTCCTCCTAGCTCCTGCCAGCCCCAAAATGAAGAGTAGGGAGAGACTGGTGACTTTGCACTTGCTAGCAATTTATTAGGTAAACAGAGATTCAGTTCAGAAGGAACAGGACCATGATTTACCATTCATTGAATGATAGCCCCTGTTTCTTGCATTTTTCTTACCTTTTTGCTAACCTTATTTACCTTGATACTTAGCACTCCAAAATCAGTCTTATCTATACATACCAAGTGACGGAATGAATCTTTGGCTTGGTGTTAAACAGTTCTGACATGCTTCAAATTAAAACCGCTGAGAAACAGAACCCCACACATGTGAACAAACTAAACCATTCTTTAAAATGTGACTTTAATGGGACCAGTGTAACTGGTGACAGTGTTTGTTAGAAAAAAAGCCAAAACATCTGTAAGTCTTGGTTCAGCTGGAAATTTATTTTGGAATATCATACGAGAGAGAATGTTATTAACTTAAGATTCCAATTATTATTTGTGTTTCAGCAACAATCTGCTCTCTGGAAATTGCTGCTATGCGTGTCAAAAGTCACTGTTTTATCCCATAATTTTCTGCAAGGAGGTAAGCACAGAGCTCCTCAGTATCGGTACAAAGAAAAGAAACAAGGAATGAGTGTCGAGCTCTATCAAGAGATACCAGCCTTTTGCTACAAAATGTGGATACGGACATTCCTGATTTTCCAGTTGTCCATATGGGATTGATACTACTCATTTATTTAGTTATCAGCTGCTTTCTTTCTAGCTAGCAAGGGATTACTAAAACACAATGCCCACTATGTAAAACTAAATGAGAGTTTCAATAGGAATGAGGGCAGTCCTCCCCCTTCCCCAAAGGAGATCCCACATTGAGAAGAGCGTTTATGTTGTGAGAAGAGCATTTCTGGTGAGTCTGTCATACACTAAACCCACTTGTTCCATTTCTTGTAGACACTACGCTATCAAGAGCTTTACCCATAGAATCAGCAGTGTGTCCTGCTTACCTTAAACTTTCTCTTTATCATGGAGGAGACATCAAAGAAGAATAAAAGATCTGGAGGCCTCCTTCAAAGATTTTGTAGAGGTTGTCCATTTAGTCACATTGTGCTTTAATGTCTTTTTCCTTTTCCAAAGCTTTGTATTTGTCACTTTGCCCAGGAGAGTTGCTGGGCCAATCTCCTCAGGACATGTTCTGGCCTTCCTCTACTTTAAGTATTGCTACAAAAGCAGTCTACTTGAAGGGATTTCTGCAGTACTTAACTACACATATACAAAAGCAGCCTATGCTTCCTAATATGCTGTTTCAGGCCCTTACATTCCAATCTGGCTTGCATTGCCCTTTAATTATCTGTCTTCTTATTGTGATCAAATGAATTTTTACTAATCTCCACATTTATTGTTAAGGTAAATAGATGCTGCTTTTAATCAGTATGGAGGGCCAGACCAATGCAGTTTGAAGTAACTTAAGTCAACTATAAAGGGTTCAATGTGTGTATAATTACAGAGGACGTCAGCTATTCACTCCAGTCTAATTCAGTGTCTGTTTAGAGACAGAGCTCTTCCTTTCCTCTTTCCTCTGCTCCCTCTCTCACCTGATTTGCTCCCCACTGTTCCACAAAGCCAGCAGGAAGAGCACAGTGGAGGCCAAGCCAGCAGCAGCCCTCCTGAACCTCAGGCTGGATTAATTTAGTGGATTTGAACTCCTAGGTGAGTATAAGCATACGGGTACAATATAACACCTTCTTCCAACAAAAAAGATTGATTGCATCTTAGCCTCAGTATTAAATGTGCTATTATCAGAAGAAGCTGGAATAATGCATGCAGTCATTTTAAAAGAAAGCAGGTTTCCTTTGCGAGCATACTTATTATTTCAATAGTATTTGAGAACTATTTTAATAGTGGCCACGTTGTTGCTTACTAAAATATATTTGAATTGAACATGTATATATCAAGGTATTTTTTCTTAATTTTAGTTTGAATTATTCCTGAAGTTCTCATTAAATTTACCATTTGTAAAGGACAGATTAAATGAAAATGGCTTTTAGAAAATAGAGATGGAAATTATTTTGACCTTTGTGACCTGGTAGAGGTGATAATTTGCTGCAGCACTGTATGTTGGATGTATCTGACATTTTAGGTATTCCCTCATAGTTTCAGACCTTTGTACAGATGAACACCACCTGGGACAACTCAGCAGTCAACTTTTTGTTACCTTCATGTAAATGAGAAGACTACAGCTGTCTTAAGCAATCTAGGTGGACACGACCAATGGAAAATTAAACTTGGGCGAGGGCAATGCTAAGAAAAGAATGTCTATTATCCACAATAATGCTCCTAACATTTTCTAAACAGCTATTACCTGTGTCTGTCCATAATTGTCCTTCTTACATTAACGTTGCAATCTTTCTTTCTGAACAGTTACAGAAATCTCTCCCCACTGACTTTTCCATATGTAAACAACCTATACAGCATTTTGTAATGTAAAACAAATGTGGTAAGTAGGTCCCACATTAAAAAAATCATTTTGAGTGGAATGTCTGAAATGCTCAGGGGATTTTGAGGGGGAGGTTAAAAACTACCACTACTTGCACTCAGTTTCCAAATGCATTCCCATATATGCAGATGAGTGTCCATAGACCTGTGGAGCACATTGTTGCTGAATTTGGATTGTCACTGAGAACAAATAACTCACTTTCTCTTTTGCAAAATGATGCAAAATAAGCTGTAGTGGATTTTTGTATCTAATATTTCTCATGTGCTTTTACTGCACATGAACATAACTAAATTTTTATATTGACAATAAAAATGTTTATCTGTTTAGAAAACAACTTGACTGCAAAATTCCCAGTTAAAGCAAAATAAATAGAAGCCAAAATCTCTATCATCACATTAGAGTAACATGCTAGTTATTCTAATTGAAATGTGATTCTCTATAGGGGCAAACCATTATACACCTCAGAGGGATTGAAAGCAGGGAAACAAAATGCAAGTTTCACATTTCTAAAATCTCATCTCCACATTTAAGAAATAGGATGGTCACAATTCCCATGCAGTACTTAAGACAGTGTGACTTGATCCTCCATGATGTATTTTGGAGGACATTCAGCAAAGCTCCAAGAGACATGTAGAAAAATGTATCAATGTGTCCTGTGTGTCTGGTTTTTGGAAAACGTCCTGGCTGAAAGCACAGCTCTCAGAGCCAGAGCAGGCAGTGTCCTCCAGCTCTTTCCTATTATCACTGCACATACATCAGGATGTGAAATAAGTAGCCAGACCTTTCAGCCAGTACCCAGGCTGTTATGCACTAACTTCAAAAGAGACTATCTGAGTGAGAATTACATGCTCCTAAGTCAAAGATGTTGAAGTTAGTGCACATAGAAACTTGTGCTTGTTCAGAGGAAATGTCTAAATTTTCTGAAAAGGCGTGAAGTGTAAAATAAAATTGCATGCTTTGGAAAGATAAGTTGTGTAATGCTACAGACTGTTCTGAAACCCTCTTTTCCCAGCAGTGGGGGGAGTGCTGATATCCAGAACACAGACATGCAACACTGTGTTTTTCCTGGGAGTAGCTGTGGTACCCTCACATTGACTAGCCACATTCCATGAAGCATCAGGAGCACAGGAACACCTCTTTGTGTCAAAGTGTCAAAGTACATGCTAGAGATGCTACAAAATGTGGTTTATTGCCATGTGAGGGATGGACTGAGCCCATATAACACCAGATGTTCTAAGGATGTGCAAAACCCACAGTATCTGCAATTTTGCAGCTTCAAGACCAAAATTTTAGAAACACAATTATTTGCAGATGGTGCCTTACCTTACTTGCAAGTGTGTGTCTGCACACACACTTGCAACTGCATAAGGGAGAGGGAGGGGATCTCTGTAAATAAACTGCTTAAAAAGAAAACCAAATAGTCAAACCAACAGCTTGGTAGTTTGATATTAAATTGCCTATTGTTACAGTATTTTTCAAATAGCTGTTACCATAACAACATATTTTTTCTTTAAATTTTTTTAGCTGTTTGTAAAAAAAAAAATCTTGCCAGAATTCTTCCATAATAGCTTCCATTTATAGCACTGTCTTCTGTTGGGGAGGCCAGTGCTGATGTCTCCTGCTGTCACAAGTCACTCACACATCTAGCAGATGTTTTGTTTGATAAGGCCAATTTGAGCTTTATAGAACACGTTGTGGTTTTTCATCCATTCCCAAAGAGCAAATATCAGTTAGGATGAGACTCCAAACTGATCATTTGCAGAGAGACACGGAGCATGATACCTGTCAGCAGAATGTGACCCACCCTGAGAAACTATCTCAGACAGAACTGTAAAAGATTCTCCTTTAACACAGCAATAGTGTACCAAGCACCAAGAGACAGACCTTGGAGCCATGCCTATAACAAAACCAAAAAACATGAGAAGGGAAAGGAGGGAGAAAGGAGGTAAAAATCCTTTAGGAGGCCAGTATTTCTCTCCAATTCTGTAGCACATATTTTACTAAATTCTTAATGTAAATGCTGTAGATGAAAGTGGTTTGTCTCTATCAGACAATTTATTTCAATCAGAATTGGAAAAAGTGAAAGAAAAGGAATCCACTTTAAACATTGATGCTGCCCCAGCAACACTGGCAATTTTATTTTGGATTCAGGTAATTTGCATGACTAAGAAATAATTGCTTTTCCAGCCCCTACACACACTTGAATGTGGATAACATGTCCAGATTCTTATATTTAATAATTCGTCTGCTAATACCATCTTGTTTCTGGAAACAGAAATACAACTATTTATTTTTGCAAGGCTTATTTTATAATCAGGCTTTTCATTTCATAATCACCTAGGACCATATTTTAGTGTAAGTTGTTTGAATTTTTTTAAGCATTTACTGCAGAATTAGAGAAGGTTCCACGAAATATTTGAATGCTATATAAAACTTCTCAGGGCAGAAGAAAATATTGCTGTATGTTATTTCTGTGTTAATTACCTGGATCAGAATGAGTGGCAGCTAGCCAGCCCATAGGGCATGCTACTTTTCTAGAGAAGGTGTGTAACTGTGTGCATCCAGATGTGTGCATATGTGTGTGCCCATATTTTCTTTCTACTAGCCAAAAATAATATTGAAAAATCTTAAAATAGTGTTGCTTAACAGTGTACTTTAATTTCCACACTCTTTTATTTAAATCTACATTCACAAGAGTAGTTTAAGAGAGGACATTCCACATTTATGCAAGTGTAGATGACTGCAAAACAAAGTGGTTATCTGGTCATAAGGCTGCAATGAGACTACTGCCACAACATCAAATCTTCTGCTTATTTGTGAAGGTATAAAACATTTGGGTGAACCTGAAGACAGCAGTGTTGAAAAGAGCATCACAAATCCTGTTGCTCTGATTAAAATTCTGAATAGATGGGGTGAAGTTCAGATTTTTTTTCCAATATGTAGCTGAAAATATTTCTGTAAGTAAATTATTTCTCCCCCATATTTCAGTGTATTTAAAAACATACACACTTGTATGTATTTCCACTTTTAAGAATGCTGGTTCCAGTTTTAAGAATGCAACAAGTCCTTTTGCTGGAGTTTCTGGTTTAGCAACACAGCTGTGTCAGCTTTAACTGACACATTTTCATCACATGTGATTTGACATGAGAAGGTGGAAGTGGTACTGCAGATGCCTGCAATTTGACTGATAATGTTAAGAATGTTCATCCACACACTGTCCATTAGATTTGCTTTGCTGAAGTGAGGTTACTCAGCCTGAGATCATTTCATACAGGTAACAAATCTGAAGTTTTGAAATCAAGAGTACTGCATGCTCCTCTTTTATGCTCCATATTGATTGTAAATGCATGTAACAAGTGTTAATGAGATGCAGTAAATTTATTAACAACAAAAATCTCTTGCATTCACCCCACTCTGCTGTAACTAGAATTGAGAAGAGAAGCTTTAAACAGGAAGAGCTTTCATATCCTGCTCCAGGAGTGTGACCAGCCATGGTAGGTTGCTCTTGGCCTCATAACTACTGAAAGGACTTTTGAAATGGGCATTGTTTGAACTTCTGAGCATGGTCTATAATCTTGTTTAATAATTACATCAACTGTGACAGTTTAATTCAGCGTAGGTACCTAAAACTATTCCTGAAATTAATAATAGGCATGCTTTATAGCTTATGCATGTCAAAAGTTGTAAGACAAGTCTCATCATGGAATGTAACTGTTTTAACATGACTTTTTAAATAGTCCAACCATTTAAAACAATTGCATAACATTTTTTCTCCAATCTTTAAAACAAAAAATCTTTCTTTGTATTTATAGGGTTGAATATAGTTAAGTGACCTCTACAAAAACTTCCTCTTTGAAGTGTTCTCTGAAGAGATCTTCAAGGCAACTGAGTGCCTCAGATTGTGATTTTGTAAGGTTTTGATGCTAGAAAATTGTTTAACAAACAGCTCCAAAATATTGAGATTTTGATTAGTAACATACAGTGTCATGGCATTTAAAAAATATAAAGTTTGAAATCTAACATGTGGCAGAAGAGTATGTGTTCCACATGGTTAGGAGAATGGGAATGGGGGCATACCAATATCTGAGCAGGAGAAAATAGTTGTATAAAGCCAATTAAATTATTGTTTAGGAATATATTATACTGCTGTCTCTACTTGTGCCAGAACTATTCCTCTAAATTCATGGTTGAAGAGTATGATCCTTCAGCAGAATAGGGAGTTTGGGTTACTGTTGCTTTGTTTTTTAAATGTACGTACTGTATGACTCTGCAGAGTCCTGGATTTGGTTAACATTGACTTCTCAGCAGAGAACAGTTTGGGAATATTAGCCTAATTTCTAAAAATAGTAATATGTGAATAATATAAGTCAGGAAATCTAGTTGAGTATAACAGTCCTGAGGAGCAATGCTCACACTGAAATCAGTCCTAGGCCTCAGAACCTTTCACTGTAGTTAATTTCCTGTAGAGTTTCATATTCTTCACAATGTTGAAACTTTTCTCATAAAAGAGTATTCTGCCAAAAGAAGTTTTGCTCTGTCTAAGGAAGCAAAATGCTGCTGTACTTGGAGTCTTTCCAATGACAGAATTTGAACTAATGTTAAGAGATGCTGTACTGGCCTACACTGAGGGGTTAATTTAAAAATCCCACCTCATTTATACCCTCATTACCACTAGATTAGGATTGCATCTAATCCCAAGTAATTACATATTAGTTATATATATTAGCTCTAGGGTGGGATCTGATGTTTGCATACAAGTATTTATTTTACTAAGTGAAAAGGAGTAAAGACCTACCCAACTCAGGCATCATACATCTATACCCCATTTGCATGTATACCTTTTAAATTCTAAACCAGAAAAAATTTGTAACTTTAATTTCTGTTTTGGGGTAAGCCAAAAGGGATTTAAAGAAAGTCAACAGCGTTGATCAAAAAAAAAATTAGAGGAGCAAAATGCAAAGTAGTTAACTATTCAGTGTGAATACATTAACATTAGAATATGCCAGCTGCCGTTTACCATGCCATTGCAATGCTGCAACTGTCCAGACATAACACTCTTGGAAGAGGAAGTGTACCTGTAATTCTTACCAATGCAAACATTTCTTTGTTTTTTTTAATGGTTGGAAGTAATGGGTAGCCATAGAGATGTACAGTGGAAAAGATTCATAACCTGTATTTCTGAGCAGTTTTGCATCTGATCCATCAGTTTGAGGAAAATACTTCCAAATGCAGTTCTCTATTAGTGATGGAAAGTCATTGCAATATGAATATACTTTCAGCAGTGCACTATGGAAAATGGACAATAAAACTGAAGTTCTTCTGTCTTCAGATCAATGTAAGCATGAATCTTAAAAATGTGAATAAAAGAGCTCATTCAGCAAGCCCTACTAATTATGTCTAGCCCTCATTTGCAAATTGTTTAATTGTGGATTGGTATTACTAAATCTCAAGGATTATTTTGCAGTTTTTGGAATCAACATTAAAAATAGTCTTCATTTAATCTCTTTCAGAAGAGTTGAAGCTAAATTTTACAAAACGAAAATGTAAATAATGAATAAGAGTCTCATAGCCAAATTATTATCTAATGACTGGAATCCAACTTCAGAATGATCACAGAACTTCTTTTTTAGTGTTCATTCACCCCACCATAGATATAATTTCATAATATTTTTAAAGAACATTTTAATAAGCAGGAATATGACAAATCTTTGTGAGTTAGGATTTTGAGACTGTAGATTACCATCTTTAATCTCAGCTAAACAGAAGATACTCTTTCAAAATTCTTAAGCACAAATAAATTTTAGTTAGGGCTTTTTTTCCTAAACAGTTTCTGTGGGTGACTTTCCAACCTGTTGATGCAAATACCTACCCAGCTCACAGTCTATTGCAATTTCAAATTTCAAAACTAAGTAGGCTGGTATTTCTTCAGTCAATAATGCTGAAAGGTTCATACTGAAAAAGGAGGAAAACCCTAAAAACATTAAAATATCAAGTATTTTCCAAGTGCTTAACTCATGCAGTCTTTGGGAATTACGGAAATTTAGAACTGCACTACTGAAGTTGCTGGCAGCATGCTTTTCAGTAGTGAGCTCTTTGTCATGGATGGGAAGGCTAATCAAAGTGTGAGGCAGCCTTGCTGTTCCAATTTCATCTTTCCAGAAAGACTGGTCTCTGAGATACTGAGGCATCAGTTTTTCACCTGATGGACTGTTGATGAGGCTTCACAACCAAATCCTCAGGGTGTATGAGTTACAGAGCTGGCTCTAGGCAAGTTCAAGTTAAGCCATTTGTATCCATGTCACTTTGGATGTGTCTTGTTTGGTGAGCAATTAAAAAAAATAGGTCATGTGTTGTACTCTGGAGATAGTGCTGTTTGTGATTCTCTCAAAATTTAAACATTTTGCATGCCTCAGACCACTTGCAGGGTAAATGGAGTCCCCTGCTGAGTAGCTAATAGGGGAACTCACACTTTCAAGAAAAGTGTGTCTAATAGCAGGGGATTACTATAAATCTCCTGGTTTGATGTACACCCTCGCTTAAATGTTATGGGAGTGGCTTTAGTAGCCTGCAGCTTCTGTATCCCACTTGTAGCTGCAGCCAGGCATATTTAGAAATTCATTGAAGGCAGAAATTTTAAAAATGGAGTTATCAGCTCTCCTTAGAGATATCAAAAATCTAAAAATCTAAAATTAAGTAGTTGGTTTACCTTTTTTCCCTTCTTCAAAATGGTACATGTGCTTATTATTTTTAAGTTGAAGTCACAACTCTGGGGGATTTTTGCGTTCTGTGATAGTTGAACATGGACTGCATATATATTTATTCAATTTTAAACAGAGAAAGTAAAAGAAGTAAAACTACTTTTGAAATTAATTTGTAAACTGAGTGCATTGCATATAATAGCATGTTGTGTACTAGATAGTATTGATATGAAACTGACCTATGAAGCAGAAAAAAGTCCAACCAGAAAATATTTATTTGGTAAATATAATGATTACATTTGTTCATGTTATACTCTTGGACACAGCATCTCCCAGGCACTGTTTGTGGTTCTCAGACTGCTGATTATTTCCAAAAGAATCTCTGGAAATTTTCTGAAAAACTAGGTTCATCCACAGAACATCACTTGAGCAATTAATGGTTTTCAGTAATTTTGTAGTTCCCTGAAACACTAGAGAAGCTTCCTATATTTTCTTTTCTAGGCCAAAGATCTCTTGAGCTTTGTCTGTTTCCTGAAAGCCCTTGCTTGGGTGTTTCTAAGGCAGCTTGATGTTCCTCAGCTGGGCAGAAGGCATTCAAGCAGGTGCTGAGTGTAATAAGGCTAGATAAGAGACCAATCATGTTTTTAATCACCTACTTCTCCCTGGCTTTGGGAAGTGGATAGTGCACCATGATTACTCTGCTGGTCATACTTTCAGGTACACACTGGCGAGGTTGGCTGGGATTTGTGTATGTTACGAAGAGTATGTTCTTTTTAATAAATCTGGCTATTAAAGGTAGTTTTGTGGCTACTACAGCTGTTAATCTGATAGCAGACATAGCTTCAGTTCTGTGGAGGTCATTTACCCCCTGTGTAATCACAGCAGTGAGGTGAATACTCACACTGGTGGCTGACATCTCTTTCTAGACTGATGCTGTTCTTAGGCATTTTGTGTTTCACAGTACGCCTCTCCAGAGAAGTGGGAATCTTAAGCTTGAAAGACTCCTGAGGCAAATGCTATTTTAGTCTCATTGAAATCCAGCAAGGCACCAAGTACTGAACAAAAACCCCACAGAAATTACAGAAGAAATAACAGGAGAGACTTGAAATCACCTGAATCAATAGGAGTTCTTACCCTGCCCTGCACATAGGTGAGTTCTCAAGTGTTACTGCTGCTATTGCTAATTCCCTCAAATACCTGACCCATGAGACTGCAAGTGAACTTATAGGATGTTTCCTGTGTTGCCACACATGAATAATTCAAGAATATGCAGAAGATACAGGCAAAGTATGATTACTCTTTTCCCATGAGGAAATCTGAGTTGGTGTGTTGGGGTCTGTGTTGAGTGGACTTTCAGTCACTCAGAATCTTCCTTGATTGTTGAATGCCTTTCAAATTAGCCCATGTTTCTGCTGGTATCATGCAGAAAACATTAACTAAGGTGAGAACTGTCACAGATAGCTGCAATGATAGTGGTTACCTTTATCTCACATTCATCTGTGAAATCATCTGGAGTTTTATTCTGTGAAACATGCAATGAATGTGTGAGCCCCTATTTTTGTTCCCAAGTATATTTTTTTCCTTTTTAGCTTATTTTTTGCAGTGTGAATATTTTTATTTTTTGTGTATTTTAATTATTCTTTTGCTTTGAAAACAAGACATGGTTTGTCTCTTTCCATAGTAAAATTAAGAACGTTGTCTTGAGTCTGCTGAATTAGGGAAATCAACTTGGATACACTGAAAAATGTTGTAACTTTTGTTTTCTGTAATAGGAGGGAGTTAAGGCTGATTGGGACAGCAGTCATATACTATTTGTGCTAGTATACTGTGAAACAAAGAATGATGAGGACTGGAACTTGCAGATTCAGAAAGGGCAAGTATGCTTCCAGTGTTAGAATTAAGAAAAGAGAAACAATCATTCAAGTTATTATTTAATGATGGACTGAAACTTGCTTTTGAGAAATGACTTCAAAACTTATCCCAGATAAAATGAAAAGAGAATTACCTTTTACCTGGAAGATAAAAAATAGTAATATTTTTCTCAACCATCTACTTAAGAAAATTTGGTATAAATTGACATAAATTGGTTATTGAAGCAGAAGCACCACTAAAACTGTGACTGATTCTATTAAGTCTTCTCCCACTTTGTGCTGCAAAACAATGTCATCTTCTCATTAGAATGGCTGGAGACCGCTCTGTGAGTGACTGTAGATTCCTTTCCCAGATCTGCAAATGTTTCAGATGCATCTGTCAGGCCATACACCAGTTACTAACATTCTCCAAAAATAATGACACTTCATTGTTACTGAACTAACAAACACAGCTATTCAAACTTGGCCACCTACCTACGCATTCCAATCTACAAAGCACTATGAGGGAAGAAAATTGAAGTGGGATCATCATTTGGCAGATACATATCATAAATTAGTGATCTTCCCAAGGCTTTTCACTGAACCAGCAGTGCAGCTAAATAGCTGTCACTGAGGCTCTATGCTTATATTGTAAGGGAAGGGAGTAAGGAGAAATCATTAATACAAACATTATTAAACAGTCATTGATTCTTTGGAAGATAAACTTAGAGGGACATAAAAGGATTCTCAGCTGTATCAAGGCACCAAGGTAAGGAGTATCAGTTATTGAAAGCTGCTTGAGTCAGGACCCTGAGTGAAGCATAAGGGTCACTTATGTCATGACAGCCTTTGTCCACCTGTTGAGGATCTGGTTGCCTTGTTGGGGCAGGACTGTCACCTGGGATCAGGTGCTGTGGATGGACCTGTGGGAGAGAGTCTCACTGGGGACTTGTTGTCTGTTGAGAGGTATGTTTGCACTCAGGTGTGAGGTTGTAGGTGTGCCAACTCCTAGTTCTATGAAGATTATGTCATCTAATCTCCAGTCTGTTGTCACTTGGCTACCCAGCTTGACCACTCACTTGTTTTGTCACTACTGATGTTTCTGGCAGTGAGTGATTTTTGCCTGATCTGGGGAAGCTGTTCCCACTGGTCTTGCTGTCACCCTTTGTGCCTGGTTGGAGTTGTGTGGGTGGCTCACCTGCTCCAGGCCACCAGCTGCCCTGGTGAGAAGGGGACAGCGTTCCCAGCCCCTGGGCAGTTAGCTGGAGCTGTCACCAGGGACATTTCACACTTGGCTTCCTTAGAGAATTTCAAGGAATTTTGAAACTTGTATTTCAAATGAAAGGAAACAGGACATGCAGAACCAGGTTTTCTCTAATTAATATCACAAGACCCATTTATTTTGGTGTGAGCGATTGTAGCCAATTGTAAATACCATTATAAATGTTTTTGGAAATTATGGTCTACCTTGGCAAGCCTCTCCAGATCTTTAAGACCTTCAAGCTTTCCATCTGTTATCCAGAATGAAATACTAATGGATATAATTTTACAGACTATGCTAAAAAAAAGAAAGTAATGCTGAAATCACTGACATACTTAGTAAGTGTTTTGTAATTAACATTTTCCCCCCTTTTAAACCACTAAAGCACTTTGTGGGCTAGATTACTGTGCCACTACTGTCAAACAAGATAGGAAATATTTTATAATATTTCGGTTCCTATTTTTACCCTGATTTACATTATGGCATATTAAAGATTTCCGTAGTTCAGATTGGTGAACTGATGTTTAACTTTAAATGTCTTTACACTTTTGGTTTTCATCATGGATTTGACATAACCCTAATGTAACTAATCAGTACTGAAGTACAACTTTTATTACATTTTTGCAGATATAATTTTAAAACACTTATTCTGATTATTTGTTTAATATGATATGCTGATTCAAATTAAAATGTTGACTTGTTTTAATAAGAACTCTGACATCTGTTCATACATCCTTCATGTAAAACACCTAACAAGAATTCTGTTAGTCCTGTAACATAGTGGTATTGCTATAAATGTTACCAAGGTAACATTTATGTTTGGTAAAAACATTTTTGTTATGGTGTGTTTTTACCATTTTAAACAAAGATGTTCAATGCAAATACTTATTCCCCAACTATCTTTTTGGAACCATTATCCTGAGGAGTAAATAATACTTGAAAGAAGGCGGATTTTTAATGCAGAGCGGCATAGTCATCAATAGCCTACAAAATACACTTTAAAAATCATGCTTTTACAAACATGACACAGACTCTGCTGTAGCACTGTATGCTCTAAAAGCTGCAGATATATTTTAGAAAACACTGATGAAGCCATTACTACTTCATGCATTTGTTCATAGTATATATCATTATTCAAGAAATTTAAGAACCATAATGATGGAAAATCACACAGAAAGAAAAGGAACATGGACTTTGTCAGAAACAAGGGCTACATTTTTATTCAAGAGGCCCATAATGATGGAAAATCACAGTGAAAGGCAGAGACGAAACAGGGATCCCATAAAGGACTGACACACGAAGTGGCACAAGTAGTAGAACCGTCATAGCAAGTGGATAAAAATAAAGAAAACAAAATTAACTAGAGAAGAGCTGGATTCAGGGATGAAGCAGAAAACAGAAACAAATCATAGTAAATGCTGAAGATTAATTTCAAAGAATCTGCTGAGAATGAGTGCAGAGACAAGTTCCATCAATATTAATGAAACTGAAATAGAACTCCAAATGACCATGAGTACAAAATGGCACACAAAGCATTTTCTTTTAAATAGGTTGGAGATTAGATCATAAAACCTTCCCAAAAATAAACAGAATACACACAAGATGTTATTATGGGAAAAACTAGAAACAATCACAACATAATTAATATTTCTGTAGTGCTTTTTAAAGATTTATCATCACGCGTATTTATTATAAAAGGATGGTTCATAGAAGAGATATTTAGGAAAATAAGCAGAGAAGAGTATTTTCTCATGTCCAATGTTCTACAAATATCCTGAAGGGATCTTGTATAACTTCAAGTAGCAGTCTTTGACTCTTTTTTTAAAGCAGTCTGAAAGAGCTAGATACCTCAAATCCTTAATAATATGTTCCACTTCAGGTTTATGTAATGCACAAGAAAATATCGCCCATCTTGAAAACAAATAACCATGATATGTAACTTGACAGTAAAAGCTCTGTGCAGTCAGGAAATAAACTTTCCTAAGTTACTTAAGCTGCCCACTCATATTAGACAGCCATGAGTACAGGCCATGGATCTTGTAGAGATTCTCATACTCTTGACACTAAAAAGTTTTGTGCCACCAGCTGACAACTGTATTCACTTCTCATCAGATAGCCTATGGTTAGAAGCAAAGGGGCACACTTCAAAAACCTGATTTTTAAGAAAGACCAACACAAACGTGTAGTTTCTTGGATGATGTCAGAAGCCCTGTAAATTGTGACTGGCATATCAAATGTTGTAGAATCCTTAGTGCAAGAGCAGGGCACATGAGTACCTTTCTGATAAAGATTGCTCTTCCCTATGAATGTTCATTGTGACAGGCAAAATTTCAGTGTCATAAAGAGAGATTCAGTCTGTTTCACTCACGTAAAAAATTAAACTATTAAAGGTTTTTTCATCTGTCACAAGAGTGGCCATGTCTTTCTTCTTATAGCAAGTCACTGATGTTATTTCTGTGCCTTCCCACAGCTGATCAGCAGTAGTTCTTCTCCACTTTAGGGTTCTCAATGCGCTTGCTGCTAATGCACAAACCTTTCTTTTACATTGTAGTGAAGATGTGATGGTCTAAATAAAGCTTTTGAGAGGAATAAAAATACTTTGTAAGGCAAAGTCTTGGTTTAAAAGGGAGACTGGGATATAAATATATACATATATATGTGCCTTACAAAGTATTGTACTTTGCCTTACAAAGTACATAATTCCAGCATAAAAAATACTGGAATAAGTGCAAAAATAATGTAGATTAGGTTTGGCAGAAAAACAGTTATTTGTGGTAGGCCATATTCCTGTGTTTCTTCATTGGGGCAGAAATTACGTAGTGGCAGCCAGTAGCTAAACTGTGGCAGAAAATCCCTTTCCAGAATTTATTTGGATTCTGGAATTCCTAGTGAAATCTGTGTCCAAGCAGTCATGCTGTTAAGTCAAGATTTGGTTGCACCCACAAAAATATTACAATCATGAGGCAATGGAATTTCTGTCATCATGTGTTATTTCTTAACATGGTGATAGTAAGCTTTACCACATGATAAGTAATTTCT